CATATAATAGTATCAATAGACGCAAAAAGCATTCGACAAAATCCAACACCTCTTCATTCTAAAAACTCTAACCAAGGTAGACATAGAAGGAACAATCCACAATATAATCAAAGCAATATATGAAAAACCCAACACCATATCATACTGAATGGAGAAAAACTGGAACCCTTTCCATTGAGATCTAAAACAAGACAAGGATGTCTGCTATCACCACTGCTATTCAACATAGTTCTAGAGGTATTCGCAGAGGCCATAAGACAAGAAAAAGAAATCAAAGGAATTCAAATGGGAAATGAAGAAATCAAGCTTTCACTATTTGCAGATGACATGATCCTTTACATAGAAGAACCAAGAGACTCAATACAGAGACTGCTAGAACTTATACGAGAGCTTGGTGGAATGGCAGGGTACAAAATAAATGAACAAAAATCAACAGCCACAGTGTAAGAAAACAGCCCAAAGATGGAAAAAAATCGAACCAGCAAGATACCATTCAAAATAACAGAGAAGAAAATGGAATATTTAGGAATAAATCTAACCAAAAATGTAGGAGAGCTCTTTGAAGAAAACTTAAAAAAGAAATGGAGGAAGACCTCAAAAGATGGAGAAACATACCATGCTCCTGGATAGGTAAAATCAATATCATTAAAATGTCCATACTACCAAAAGCAATATATACATTCAACACAATCCCAATCAAATTACCCAAAACATTCTTCATTGAACTGGGAAAAATGATACAAAGGTTCATCTGGAAACACAAAAAACCACGAATAGCTAGAACCATCATGAAGAATAGGGAGTTAACATGGGGAATCACAAGTCTGGACCTCTGGACATACTATAGGGTGGTGGTTATCAAAACAGCCTGGTACTGGCACAAAGATAGAGACGAGGATCAATGGAGCAGAATAGAAGCAACAGAAGGGAACCCTCGCGGATATAACCAAATAATCTTTGACAAAAAAAACAGATGACAATCCAGGCAAATAGGAAGGTCTCATCAATAAGTGCTGTTGGGACAACTGGTTTATAGCCTGCAGAAACAAGAAGATAGACCAACATCTTTCACCATACACTAAGATCCAATCTAAATGAATTAAAGACCTAAACCTACATCCAGACACCTTCAAACTTTTAGAAGAAAATGTTGGAAACACCCTGCAAGATTTAGGTGTAGGCCCTGACTTCCTAAAAAGGACACTAAAAGCAATAGCAATCAAGACCAAAATAAACAAATGGGACCTCATCAAACAAACAAGCTTCTGTACAGCAAAGGAAACAACCAATAAAGTAAAAGAGCAACCCACAGAATAGGAGATCTTTGCTCACTACATAGGTGATAGGGGGCTAATCTCCAGATATACAAAGATCTCCAGAACTGCCAAAACACCAAAACAAACAAACCACTCAACAAATGGGCATGGGAAATGGGCAGACATTTTACAAAGGAACAAACCCGAATGGCAAACAAACATATAAAAAAATGCTCAAATTCCCTGGCAATAAGGGAAATCCAAATTAAGACATCAATGAGGTACCACCTAACGCCAGTAAGAATGGCTCAAATACAAAACCAACACTTGCTGGTGAGGAGGTGGGGAAAAGGGAACCCTACTCCACTGTTGGTGGGACTGCAGGTTGGTACAGCCTCTATGGAAATCAGTATGGAGAACACTCAAACAACTGAAAATCTGCATACCATATGATCCAGCAATAGCACTTCTAGGAATATATCCAAAACACCTGGTGCATGAGAAACCAACATGCACCCCTATGCTCATAGCAGCACAATCAGTAATTGCAAAAACTTGGAAGCAACCGAAATGCCCATCAACAGAAGACTGAATAAGAAAGCTATGGTTCATCTACTCCACAGAACACTATTCAGCTATCAAAAAACAAAATCAAAAACAAAAAAAAAAAACCCGAAATGCAGTTCTTTGTGGCCAGATGGGTCCAACTGGAAACCACTATGTTAAGGAAAATGAGCCAATTCCAAAATAACATGTTTGCCTTAATTTAAGATGAATTTATGTCAATAAAAAAACATTTCCTGTAAATTGTAATATTATTTCAACCTCAAACAGCCTGTATCACATGCAATAAGATATTGTGATGTAACCAGTGAACCAACAATCAATGTGAGTCAGACTGCTTATGATCTACATCAAAGAACTGCAAAACCTAATATACTTTTAATACTGTATGTTATTCCATAATGGAGTGGGAGAGCAGAGAAATCTTCCACCTCCTTCAAATGTGTTAAGTATTACCTATCAAGAATATAATAGGTAACTTATAGAAAACAGACTCAAATCAGCATTAGACATTAGCAAAACTATAAAGACATACAGGGGGAATCAAGAGTGATCCTGACAACCTCTCAACAGGAGGTTATATGCACAGAGCAGGGGGGACCCCCAGAGTGGAGCAGGAGGACAGGAGGAGGGAGGCTTGTATCCCAGCCCTGGGGACTCCTGGATCCTCACCAAGGACTATCAGTACGGGCACCAAGGACTACATCCCAACTGCCGAGGAGACCAGGGGGAATTGGACTGCCCTTGTAGGCCAAGAACTCTGAGGTCATCCACTACTTTTCAGATCTCCCACCTGGGAGGAAAGATGCCAGATCCTTCCTCACAGATCTAATGTCATCAGAATAATATCTGGGAGCCCTAAGCAGACCTCAGAAACAGAAGAACAGTAAACTCCCTTCAGGAGCTTTCTCTGGTCCTTACTTAGTTCCAACTTTGGATCCCCATTCTCTCTTGCAATGACCATCAGGATTGCTCTGGAGCCCCTCCCCCTAGAAATTAGATTAGACAGACTGAAACCAATAAATAAAGCTTAGGATTAGACAGGAAACGGAAAGCTTGGATTCACATATACCTTACTAGGTAGGACACAAAGATTAGTTACTCCTCACTAAGGTATTGAAGGTTTCTCTACACACCCCCCCCTAAAACTGTTCTGTGCCTCAACTGTTGACATATGCCTTGTTAGAGTTATAAGCCAGCTTGAACTACCCTAAAGTTCAGTAAAAAGTATGCTTCAACATTATAAACTGCTAAATATAAAAATGAAAATAGACATGAGACAGCTGAATAGTACCGTATAGCCATTTTAAGGTGTATAGCAACCAGTTCTGTATATAAACTAAAATTGAAATGTCAATGAAGCAGTCACAGGATGTGGTTAAGAACTTGAATTTTCTAACATATTGGTCACTCAATACCATGTCAGTTAACTCCATAATGTTGTAAACTGTTATTGATGTTATGTTGTGCTTTTTCATTGGAGGGGATGATATTCTGCCAGCTCTACTTTCAGATCAGAGATGGTCTCCCAAGGAAACTGTTGAATCTATCTTTACATAAGAGGCTGGACTCTATGCATGGTACATGCTTGCAATGAAGGAATCATGACTGGATTTGAACTGTAATACGCAACAAGGTGGAGGAATCTAGCATGAGGGGAGGGCGTGGAGAGAGGTTGGGGGAATCCCAGAGCCTGTGAAACTGTGTCATAAAATGAAATGAAATTTAAAAAAAGAAATAAAGAAAACATTATTGAGTACTTATTCTGTGCTTAGTTACTACTTTTTCATTTTATTGTCCTTTTAATTTATATATGTATAATTTATATTAATTTGTATAAATTTTATTTATATTATTACCCATAATATGCTCAGAACAGAAACCTCTGACATGTCCTAATAATGACAATACAGGAGTACACATTTTTTAAGTGTCACAGTATATGTGTCAGTTTTACTAATGCCTTTATAATTTGCCAATGACATGATTCTTTAGAATTTTGTGTTTTTTTGGAAATATAGCTATAGAATATTAGTGTCATTGTAAGGTGGCAAGGCAACTAGTGAGGGTACTTCTAACCCTTACACTGTGGAGATGTAAGGGAAAGGAGGAACAGAAAAGTATAGAGTGAACTGCCAATTGAAGATTGTTGTTAACACTGACGTCCACATAGGGAAGGTTTTAATCCCTATCAGTAAAGTAATAAAGACAGTAAAGAATTTGACAAATGGGTCTTCCATTTCCAAGGAGGCTTTTTTCTGTAATACTTTGAAAGACAGTCCTTATTCCATATGAACAACAAAAACAATAAGACAAACAAAACAAAAACAAAAACAAGGGAAATGAAAGCTACTCATCTGCTGAGAGGAAAACAGGTTATCATCACTTAGAACCATCAGAGGCCCCAGCGACATCAGAGCAGTATGTGGAAGTATGACTTGCAAGGTGCAAGAGTGACTGTTGTACGGAATAGCATAGTCAATGACAGATCTTTAGACAAGCAATGTAACCAAGGACCATTGAATTTAACCAGAAGGCTGACGGATTGGGATTGGGATTGGGATTGGGAGAGGGTTGGAGATGGAGGGAGATCTCCAATTGGAAGCAGAAAAGCAAAGATACCAATGAATTCAAGAGTAGAAACAAAGTATGAAGGAAACCAAGCTCAGAAGTCTTGAGTCCCAGCTGAGCAGCAGAGGCACTGCCTCAGGGCTAAGGGGACAAGGTTTGGGCTGTTAGATAGCAAACTTGGCAAATTCGAGGCCTTCAGCAGCCAGCAACAACCAACAAGGACTCATGTAAAGCTGAAAAAGTGAATAATTTTCGTTGGTAACAAAGAACATTTAAAAACAAGAGAACTAGGACCTAGAAATAGGAAGAAATAGAGGGAGTTACCATTTTTGAACATTTATTACATGCAGTACGCTGTGGTGAATGCTTTTATTTGATACTCAAAACCATCCAAAAAGTAAGAGATATTAATTCCCTTTTTAGATAAGAAATAGGAGACTTGGATTTAAAAAGAGTTTAGTTTAACTAGTTCTATATTCAAGTAGAATGAAAAAGATAGATACACACAAAGAACACCTTCAATAGTGAGTGAGTCAATAGAAAAAGTTTTAAAATGTTAATATGAAAGTCTAAGATAAAACAAAATGTAACCCAATCAAGAAAACTTACGCTTGGGCCTGGTGCTCCAGGTGGACCCTGTAATACAACAAACAGAAAAATTTACTAATTCTTTATCCTAAACCAGGCAAGAATCAATGATTAATAGACAGAAATGTAAAGAAACTCACTGGAGGTCCAGGTTGACCTTTTGGTCCTTGGGGACCCTGGAAGAAAGAGACGGCAAAATTGGCATACTGTAAGCTTTTGGTTTGCTGTAAACAAGGGAATGAATAATTAACACTGTCTTTTTGTGTCAGGCCTGTCTTAAGAGTCAAAATTGTTTGAGTATTTTCAAACTCTTGCACTTATCTCTCATTCATGTTCATAAACAAGCTGGATATTTAGTTTTCTGCTAACTATAGAAAACTATTATATAATGTAATGATATGTCATTGTTACATTGTTAACAATAAATAATTATTATACTATTAATAATAAAATATTAATACTGTCTTTGTGTGTTTTTCCTGTTGACATACCTAATTGTCAAAGATAGTGTTCTTAGATAATTCCTTCATTCCCAATGAATCGGTTATCAATTTCTATTGATTTCATTTCCAAACTCCTCTAAAATACTGTTGCTTCATCCATACAGCAATTGTTTTGACTTAGCAGAACTCATGTACTATGGGCTGAATATTTGTGTTTCTCCAAAATTCACAGGTTGAATCCTCTAACTAGCAATGTGATGGTGTTCAGAGGAGGGCCCTTTGGGATGTAATGAAGTCACGAGGGTGGAGACCTCATGGAAGAGATTTGTGCTTTTATGAGAAATAATGTAAGAGAGGATTTGTCTTCTACTATGAGAGGCTACAATAAGGTGGACTTCTACAAACCAGGATGTCAATCCTCACCAGATACTGAGTATGTTGGGCACCTCAATCTTCTTAGCTTAGAATGTTTGTTGCTGAAGCCATCCAATTTATGGTCATCTATTAGAGTAGTCTGAATCAACTGAAATTAGCATTTTCTCTACACTGCTAATTTGACTTTCCTGACATTATTCTCTCTACAGTCCTAACTATATTCTACATACAAAGTGGAAATATAGTCATATAATTATTTAGTTAAAATAATCCAGTAAGTCTTTATATGTGGTGGATAAACTATCATCATTTTATGTAAATACTGTCTTTTATTAAAGGTTTATTTTTATCTGAAAGAGCTACATTAAGGGCCACAGTAAGTCTGCTGAACTCTTCCTAGTTTCCATGGTTTATAATTACAATGCTAAGAGAATGTATACAATTTATATTTCAGGAGTGGAATGGTAAGTTGCACAAATGTCATATTAGAGGCAGTCTTTTAAACATACAAAGACTTAGTGTATTTGGTTGTATAAACTTCCTGGCTTTGAATCAATGCTGTTCAACTAATAAACAGTCATGGCATTTTACCCCATTGAACATATTTCTGTCATTTGCAAAGTATCACTGATGATTTAGGGCAAAATATATATCTTGTCTTTGACTTTGAAAGAAAAGTTAATGATGAAATGAAGAAACTATTTTGACTGATAATTTCATTGAATGCATTTCAGCTTGTTACTCAGAACAAGTCGGATCACCACAAATATCAAACAGAATAATTCAAACCCAACAGGACAGGACAGGGCAAACTAAATGAAACAACTGCTCAGAATAGGGCAAGTAGCCAAGAGAATAGGATTCCAATAATGAATCATTTATTAGTTCTCTTTAATTCTTCCAAGTTCACCATTAGGAAGAAGTGATTCACCTTCTCTATAATAAAACTGTTAATTTCTAAAGGGGGACATGAAGTTAGTGTGAATGATTATTTGGCTACAATAAAACTACTTCATTTAAAAAAACAGATTCTCTTACCAATTAATCCTATAATTTACGTATAATTCTTTAGAAGTAACACAGAATATAACAAGACAAATACTCATAGAGGCTGATGTTGTGACACAGAGGGGAAGCTGTTGCTTGATTCTAGCATCTCATATCACAATGCTGATGTAAGTCTTGACTACTCTACTTCCATTCCAGCTTCCTGCTAAGGTGTTTGGGAACATAGCAGAAGATGGCCCAAGTACCTGGGTCTGTCATCCAAGTGGCAGCCCAGGTCCTAATGCCTGGCTTTAGTCTGGTCCAGAATGGCAGCATGAACTAGTGGATGAAGAGCTCCCTCCAGCTGCTTTGTCTCTCTTCCTGTCATTCTTCCTTTCAAATAAATAAATAAATCTTAAAAATACGGATTACTGCACATGTTTGAACCTGAGTATGTTAGTCTTTTCCTTTTTGTACATTCCTTTATGCAATTTCCTTATACTACTTATTTATGTAAATACTGTCTTTTATTAAATGTTTATTTTTTTACCTGAAAGAATTACAGAAAGAAAAAGCGGCATAGAGAAAGTGGAAGAAGCAGAGAGGTTAGAGAGAGGGGAAAAAGAGAGAGAGAGAGAGAAAGAAAGAAATATCTTCCATCTACTGGTTAGTCCCAAATCTCCATCCAGGAGCCAGGAGCCTCCTCTGGGTCTCCCACATGGGTGCAGAGGCTCAGGGACTTGGGCCATCCTCTGCTGCTTTCCCAGGTCGTAAATAGGGAGCTGGACTGGAGTGGAGCACCTAGGACATAAGCTGGTATCCATATAGGCTGCCAGTGCCATAGGCCAAAGTTTAGCTTATAACACCAAGGAACCAGGTTCTGTAAATGCACTCTGGGTTTACTTTCATGATCTGTAGTTTAGGCTGGCTCAGTTGCACAGAAGTTCTCTTTTCCCATTTATGAATCAAGGAGCTTCAGTTGTAGCATTTTTAAAAGCATTTCTAGTCTTCATTCACTAGGTGCCAGTAGCAATTCTCTCTTTTCTCTTAAAGTTTGGAAGGGGAACCTTTGCCAAGACCTTTTTGATATATATACCTAATCTATGGGCCATACAAGATTATCAACTGGAAACTAACTTGCTGAATTGTGAGTTCTGCCTATTGTTGCCTTAGCAGACCCAGACCAAATGATTTTGTGGCCTTATATGGTCCTTGCATTGGATGTGCCCCATCCATACTATAGAAGGCTAAACATCTCTTGGGAATGAACAGGGTAAATGATTCTTGACTGAGAACCACTGGGTTGAAAGTTGAGCCTTTAGCAATATTAAACATGATTTATTAAACAGCAACCTGATTATGATGGGGTGAGTCACAAGGCATTGTGCATGACTTCAAATCGGGAGTTTATCTGGCATGTGGGCAGATAATGCTACTCTTGGTATGGGGAAGGGTATAGTATCTGTAGTATCCTTATTTTCTGAGCAGTGCTATGAATTCTAGCAAAATTCTAGAAAAATTGTAAGAGCTGGGCTCTGGTCTTGTTTCTGAAACTCGTCTTTAGACTTTGCTATATGTCAATGAATGAGTTGCTTACTGCATGGGACTTTGAAATATCTCAAATGTAACATAACAGATTTGGTAAAGATGATTTCCAAAGTTCACTTTGGAATGGTGCTTTGTTTCCCAAGATTTTTATTAATTTTCTCCCTCATATTTTATATCTGGAGAAGGGATATAGGTGAGAATTTCATTTTTGAAGATTGTATGGATGCAAATAGAAATGTGTACTTGAATTTTAAGGTTTTCATTTTAGTAATAAACTATATGAATTTGAAAAAGTTATATACATGCATTGCTTTATATTTTTCATTTGTTGCTAGTACTCCAAGTATGATATTTAAACCATCCTCTTTACTTTCAAATTGGAGGCAAAAAAGACAACTTTGCTAATCAAGAACTGGGAACACATTAACTTAGACAAAATATTGGTGATATATTAATGATTGTTCAATATTTTATTTTTAAAAAATTAAATAATGTATAACAAAATCAGGCAGTCGAACTGAAGATCCATACTAAGACTGTTTTCTCTCTACCTTTTTTTACTTGTATTACCCTCAGTTTTGCATTTCAAGTCGTGACAATTTGTCAAAATCCTTTTCATGTGATATTTCTGCTATGAGTTAAAATTTTATTGTCTTGGCAATCCTCTTTTCATTACTCCAAAAATTTCTAGAAGTATTTGGGTCTCATGGAAATTGGGAAATTTCCATGTAACCTCTGATGGGTAATTTTCCAATAACAGGATAGTTTTGAAGTAGGAGGACAGAATTCCAAATGCTGTTCCACTAGGAGATTTTCCTAGGATGCCACAAAACTCTAGCTCCATTTAGAGAATATCCATGGACGTAGGGGATCATTTTCTACTCCGTTAATGTCAGTTATCTATTTGAGAGGGTTTAGGGAACAAGGAGTAAGGAGAGAGAGTGAGAGCGAAAGCTGTTATCTTTTTCTGCAGCTTTACTCTCCAGATGGCCAGGACTGGGTCAAAGTAAACCTGGGGGCTAGAAACTCAATCCAGATCTCCAATGTGAGTGACAACAACTCAGTTACTTGAGTCATCACTGCTGCCTTCCAGTGTCTGCATTAACAGAAAGCTGGAGGGTAGGTACTGAACTCAGTTACTGTGGCATGGAATGTGGGCATCTTAACGGTTACCTTTATTATTATTACTATTATTATTATTGTTATATTAAAGAGAGAGAGGGAGGGTGTGAGAAAGACAGAAAGTATTTTTTATTTGCTGGCTCGGTCTCCAAATGCGGGCATTCACGGTGCCAAATCTGGGAACTTAATCTGGGACCGCCATGTGAGTTGCTGCACCCAGATATTTGAGTCATCACTGCTCATTCTCAGGGTGTACATTAGCAGGAAGTGAGGATTGGAAGTAATCCTGGGACTTACTGCCAGGCACTCCATTGTAGGACCTGGGTATCCCAAGTGACATTTAACTGACCACTAGACTAAATGCCTGCTCCTATGGACTCATCTGTAAATTAGCCTAGGCTAGCAGTCAAGAATAAAAGAAAAGGAACTTTGTTTGTTTGTTTGTGGCGATACAGAAAGAGCTCTCAGTGGTGGAGGGCCTACTTGAGGTTAGTACTAGAGAATTATAGAAAGATATAAAGCTTCCAAACCAAGAAACCCAATTTATGTTAGAGGAATACTATACTTGTGCTTGTGTTGTGTAAGCAATTTTATGTATAATCTGTATATATAAAATCTGTATAATTTTAAAACACCGAATCATGCTTTGATCTAGGTATAAAAGTTGGCAACAAAAGCAAAATTTTATAAATTCTTACCCTAGCTTCATTTAAAACTAAGATCTATGAAACTATTTCAATACCCTGATGTGATTCTTCTTTTTCTAAATGAAGTGAGGTATATTTCCCTGTTTAACTAGTCTTAGCTAGCACAATTCATTGCCCAAGAGCCTCATTTAATGAGACTGACTTCCAGAAAGACAATACATTCTTAAGCGTGGTAATCCATCCTGGGTCTTCTAATTATCTAACTTAAGTCATCTCTTCAGAGAAAACAAGCCTGGAGAATGCACTGAAAAAGCTCCTATGAGAATGTCAGGCATATTACCAAGATTTTCCGTGTGAACAAAGGAAAAAAGACTTAAAGGTACAGTTTCTGGATTAAAGTACTTGCAGAATGATTTCTAGGAATAAAGATCGCCTTTATAAAGCTCCTTAAGTTGTAATGGAATCAAACGTAAAGAAACAATAAGAGAACTATTTAGTATTAGTTATTCTGCAATAAAACAGGAGAAAACCTAATAATTTGAATTTGCCACTTGACTTTTTTATTTTACTGGAAAGGCAGATATACAGAGAGGAGGAGAGACAGAGAAGAAGATCTGTCTGATGGGTCACTTCCCAAAGTGGCTGCAATGGCTGGAGCTGAGCCAATCTACGCCAGGAGCCAGGAGCCAGGAGCCTCCTCCGGGTCTCCCAAATGGGTGTAGGGTCCCAAGGCTTTGGGCTGTTCTCGACTGCTTTTCCCAGGTCACAAGCAGGGAGCTGGATGGGAAATGGAGCTGCTGGGATTAGAACTGGTGCCCATAGTGGATCCTGGCGTGTTCAAGGCGAGGACCTTAAGCACTACGCCATCGCACCAGGCCACTTGACTTTTAAAAAACTGACTTAATTGCCTGCTCTAAATGCATTTGTTATTATTTTCACTTGTGGGTATTGAGAATTGGCATTTTATTCATGAAAAGAACTATGATAAACCACAAAACAATACTAATACGTAGATTAATTCAGGAATCCCAGGTGATGTTTGCAAATATTGCCCAATATTTAATTTTAGGGGATGGTATTTATTTATTTATTTATTTATCCATATGTTAATGGAATATTGCCTAATAGATGGCAGATTCTGTCTTAGTCACTGATCACTGGCATTTTATGCCTTCATGCAGTTTATATTCTGGTAGAGGGGAAATAAAACAATTACAAAGTGTGTTAACTGTTATGAAGAAAACAGACATGATACCATGCAAGGGAATGACCAGAAATAAGGACAGAGTGATCACAGAAGTCTTCTTTAAGATGGTATTTGAGCAGAGACCTATTTAGTTAAAACAAGTCATTTCAAGAGGTGAAATTATTTCCTAATTAAAAGACAAGCATATTTCAAAGAATAGAAGGAAGATTAAGGTAGGTGGCAAAGGGCGTATCATCCTAACAGAAAGGCAAGTGGGATAATTCATGTAGGGCCTTGTAAATCAAGGCAAAGTGGGGTTTAGGTACAAGGAGGAGTCCTGAGTACCAGGTGTTATGTCCAGGGATGACAACAGAGAATACCATCAGCAGACCTCCCACCACCCCAGGGGAATTATCTTTATCTGGAATATACACAAACTTCCTACAAATTTCCACTAATAAACAATGAAAGAATTATTTGCTTAAGAATATCCAATGTAATAGGATCTAGAATGGAACTTTCAAAACCAAACACTAGGCTAACAATTTTCCATAATGGTACATTTCATTTAACCTTTTTTTATATGAAATTTAAGACCACACAAATGGAGCTTATTTGTTCCTTTGTGATAAATAACACAGATATTGATATCATGCTTGATCCGACAGTTACTTTTCCTTTTAAAAAAAAAAGTTACAATGAAAAACTAGAAGTTTGAGAAGAAAGTGAGAAAAGCTATACAATAATTTAAAATTTTCCTCCACTTCAAAAACGGATACAAGAATAGACAGGACGTTTGTGTCTACTCCTGACTTCTCTTGTGTGCTGCAGGAAGAGTTCAACATGCTTTATAGAATTCATTACATGTAAGACTGCTTCCAATATCTACTAATAAAAATCAGGAAATCCATTTATTCAAGGTAACTTACAAAGAATTAATCAGAGAAAATCTTAAATCTTTTTTTCAAAAAATTATAGTACTTGGCACTCTAGTGCATAATGATGTGAATGCAAAGATTGACATTATTTAAGAGCATACAATTAAAATTCAGTTAGGCATAAAAATGTAACATGTAGAATTCTTTGTGACAAATATTTTAGAAAAATAAATCAAAATATTAGCACAATGTGATCTCTTTTGGAATTCTCTCCTGCTTAAGTAGCATTATGTAACATACAGAGTTGTTCCAAAATACTTGTACACACTTGAGACAGCCCCAAAAGCAAATCATCAAAAAATTGGAAAAAGTGGGATCAAGCAAATTGTAGGCATTACAACTCATAGACTTGTTTAGTCCTGATACCTCCTGAATCCTATTTTCCTAGTTCAAAAACAATTTAAAGATAGCAAAAAGAAAAAGCAGATCAGTACATAATAGTTATAGCCTTTTTGAAAACAAACAGGGAATAGCCAAGTTGCCAAAATTTAGCCATCAACATACAATTGAATATATTTTATAATAAATGGGACATTGAGTTAATGAACCAGAAATTAAAATACAACCTTGACGTTTTAACTCCCCACTCCAAATATCTAAAAAAGAATTAATTGCTAAAATCTTGAAAACATGATGGATTAATTACACAGGGGAATAAAGAACATTGTTATTTCATTTCTTTTAATATCACATAGTGAAAAAATATACTTATAAATTTAGTTTGCAGATAGCACACTTCATAAGGTCACTATTTTTTAAAAACTAGAATAAATGCTTTCAAACAACATTTAACTTAAATTTCTGTTGTTCAAAGAACAATAGGCTCTAGATTGATCCATATAAGGAAATAAGTGTTACCAACAGAGATAGCAAATTCTGAATATGAAACAGATCATAACATTCAAACTTCAGAGTCTGAGCAAATTATCTCTACACTGACACCTTAAGATGGGCAGGAATCAGAGATAAAGAATGCAGTAGAGAAAGAGCAGCAGAGAAAGTCAAGCAGGGAGGAAGCAAGAGAAACCACGCAGAAGGCTGTGACCAAGCTGCAGTGTCCGGCAGGAGCTCAACATTGCAGGTATATCAGCTAGTCTCCAAAGCATGGCTCACCACCATGTGAGCATGCTTAGTGTGTTTGTTTCTTATTGGAGAAGGACTGCTTTGAGCCACTACCTGCTTTATTCTGGATACTAGATTTCCACTGTGCAATCTAAGGTTATAGTCATACTCCAACTATGCTTGTGGTTCATCAGACACATTTTTTTTTTTCACATGACATTTTTGACATCGTGTAGGTACCTCAAGTTTCCTAATCCTGCTGGAAGCTTATGTTCCAGACAGAGTGCTTGGAGAGGATCAGCTGGAAAGGCATGCTGAGCCAGAGGAGGAGTGCTGGTGGAAAATGGGCTAACTCCAAGCCTCACTGCTTTTCCTTTCTCATTCCCATTCCTCGGGGGGATATGGCTTTAGTACATGCATACATTCTTACATCCTGCTAACGGTAGATCTACTGAAAATAGCGACAGCCACATTGAGAAAAACAATGTGTCTACTCTAACGCCTTTTGGGAGTCGTAGGCTATCTGAAATCAGTTAATGTTTCCCTTTCCAGATAATTAATATAATTGCAATTTACTTATTCTGAGTCCCAAGTATACCCTATAATGAGAAGCAAAAAAGTTTTAACTGTCACTATGTAATTTTATTACGACTATTGTGAGGTTTGTTTTTACAAGCTTTCTGTATTGAGTTTCAACCTCTTCTATCTCGTGCCTGACCTCTGTCTATGGCTGCTGCTTTAATAAGCTCAGCAAGATATCTGCTGGGGAAAGTGGTTCCTTTAACTGTGGGAAGAGGCATTCTTCTCATGGAGGAATTGACAACCTGGAAATGTAGGCAACTGTGCTGGATGCTTTTGCCTGTACTTTGACTATTGCTTGCTATAGGCTGAAATATAAAACAAATGACTTACTTCTGCTTTGCAACCTTTTCTGTTGACTGTGAGTGTCCACCTAAAGCCACCCAGCAGTGCTCTTGTTGGGTGCTGGTGAGCAAGACCCACAACCTCCTCTCCTGATGCCTCACAAATCAAGGACTGTCCACACAGCATTCTGTTCCCAGAATTACATGAAAGGTTCTAAACACATTTAGAGCGTCATAGATTTCTACTGCAGCATAACACACAGGTTTATTCTAACCCTGACAACTACAATTTCATTTTTATTTCACAGCCATTAGAGATATAGTATGAACAAACTAACAACATGCTTGCTTTTATGGAGCTTACAACCTGGTGAAAAATTAAACTTACAGCTTCACCTCTAAAGCCCTTTTCACCTCTGAGTCCCTAAAAGAAAAAAGAAAAGATTTTAGTTCCATGTTATTGATAGTTATTTAATGCATTTGAGGTTGCACATGGAGATGTGTAATCCCTTATTGACAACTTTATTCACATAGGTATAAGGGATATTGGTCCCATTTCATAATGTTGGACTAAGTATTATTTATATATTCTCCTATGAATCATGCTGTTTCACTAAACACTCATGAAATATCTGAAAGTCAAATTACATAAGGATTTTTTAAATAATCACATAATACCCCATGAAATAGTTAGATCACAGTTTTTTGGTCATTTCCTTACAGATGAGCATTCCAGGGTTGTCTGCTTGCCAATACAAATAGTATTGTGCAAAAAGCTTTGAAAAAAAATCCCTTAGTGTACTGAGTGTTTTTTGTTTCTATTGGAAACATTCCTCAAAGTGGCAGAGTTAGGTAAAGAACATATATACTTATGGTTTAACAATATTCTTCCCATAAAGACTATAGTTTAGATTTCTACAAGAAATAAGTGAGAATACCATATTCTCTTCTGAAAGGTTAGATTACTGTCTATTATTAATTTTTATTCCTTTGACATAAAGTAAGGTGAGCTTCTTTTAGTGTAATTGTTGATCTTTTGGATTTCTTCTTTTTCTACTGACTTTTCTATCTTTTCAAAACTGATTTGTGAGAACTCTTTTTATATTAACATGTCATATCTTAAAAGCACAGCAAGTATTCTTCCAAACTATATTGTCTTTTCTATATAAAATCATTTCCATAAATAATTTAAAAATATTCAAGAATCTAAGCATATTTTCTGTCTTTTTTATAATTTTCCATCTTTCTATTTTAAAGACGATTACTTGAGAAGCAGAGACACAGAAACAGAAAGTTCTTTCATCTGCTGATTCATTAATCAAATATCCATAGTTGGCTGAAATAAGCCCGGGTAAAGTCAGGCTCCAGGAATTCAATCCAGGTCTCCTATGTGGACAGCAGGAACCCAATTACTTGATTCCTCCTTGCTCCCTCCCTGGGTCTGCATTAGCAGAAGTTGGAGTCAGGAGCGGGAGCCAGAGCCAGGAGTGGAAGCTGGGTATTCTGACATGTGATAGAGATGCCTTATGAGTACCTCACATATGCTAAATTTCCATTACAGCTTTCCTATTTCATAGAATAGGTCTCCCCAGCCCTTATGCTCTACTTTAGATTTCAAGATTTCTTCTATGATTATACTGTTTAGACCTGAAAACATCACCTATGGTTTTATTCTTAATGGGGTTCCATGTTTTTATAGCAAAATAACGACATCTCCATTCCCTGGAAAAATGCAATGGGAATATTCAGAAAAATTTTAAATTTTTTTCCATGATAGAATTATAGATCATTGCTACCCTTGCTTTGGATAACTGTGTCTGGATGTGACTCCAGAGGAATTGTCATCTTGCCATAAGTGTAACTATGAAACCAACACTTAGGATAGCAAAGCAGGGAGGCATCTAAAAACTTGGTCTTAGACATCATGAAGTCACTAAATAACAAAATCTGAAGACTTCCCTAACCACTCGACTTCATGTAATGTGATATAAATTTCTTTATTGTTAAAACCAACTTGACTCAGGATTTCTGTTACAGCCCACATCATCTTGATTTATCATTTTTGTTATAATTAAATACTTGCATCTAATTAGAGATCTTACTCTGTTACATAGATCTATTTATAAATCTCTTTGTGCTACTAAGTAATTCCAGCTACAATGTCTTTGTAGTATCTTCTTATTTGGAAAAACAAGTTCCTCTCTTCCCACCACTGTTTTTTCACAATGTTTTTGTCATTCTGAAATGCTTATTTTTTTCACAAGAAATTTTTCTCCTTTGAATGGAAAACAGAAAATGAGAAAAATGTGATGTGCACGCTAAATATTGTAAGGGACTTTGAGAACTATCTATAAACAAAACCAGTAAGATATTTTAATTGAGACATTTTTGTATCACATTTTCCTTGACCAATTAATAGTTCACATTTTTGACAGAGAACAATCATTCTGTAATGAGAACAGTATGTGTTCCTTAGCTTGTTGAAGAACCACCCACTGAAACATGAGCATTCTCCCACTTACAATCTTATGGAGTTCTGAAAAGCAAATGGGAAAATCTAGAGAAATGTTGAGTGGTACATTTTTTCTTTTGGTTAGACATTCTAAAACTCTCTCCTCTAGTCCTTTAGGCCTACTATTTTTATACTTTTAAACTCTGTGTACTTATTTGTGACACATTCACATGACTTGACATACTGATTCTGTGCCAGGAATAAATCTCTCATTTCTGAGATTCAGTTTTATCCTTTACACTGTGCACTTTTTCCTGTTTACACAATATTTAGCACTGTAAGAATTTCTCATGAGCAAATCCCTAATCTTGTCATAGCCAAATGTCTCAAGCACTGGCAGATTCTGTCTCAGTTTCTCTTCCAGACATAGCTTGGCAGGGGTATAAAGTAAGAAGAATCAGCTGTGTAACTCACTAACTCAGTCGCCTTGAATGACTATGTGAACCTCCATGAACCTCATGTGCTTCTTTTTCTAATGACTGGAAATGACCGGAAATCATAGCATCTACTGTAAGCACTTTTAGAGTTTGAGAAAAGTTACTATTTTAATTTACATTATTGTTTGCTACAACCTGTGCTATATCTCTTGCTGTAACTTATTTTCACAAAGTTGTCTTCTTTTCTTGAAAATGTCATCTAACCTTGTGCTATCCTGATTTTCCTGCTATTCTTACCAACTATTTCTTGCTTTCCTTCATAGTAAGTGCTCCCAGAAGACTCACATCTTGGCTGTTTGCACTTTCTTTGCTATCTATGCCTTCTCCTTCAGAAAACAGGTGCATTTTTAGGGCCTTTCCTATCCCCATGTAAGTTCTTTTCCACTCCAGGTTTAAGTGTCTAACTCACTCTATTTATCCCATCCTCACTGCACATATGATCCTTGACTTCTCAGAAATCACCTTCAAAAAGAAACTGCATGTCTATTTCCATATTTTTCTTCTTCAATAAGTAGGTGGATTCCTTATTTATTCTAGAAATAGAATATAAGAAAAAAATTAAGTACATGAAGAAGCATTGTGTTAAACTTACAGTTCTACCTGTTGGCCCTATTATGCCTTCTCTGCCGAGGGGGCCAGTGTTTCCCTGTTGGAGTAACAAAAAAGCTGTCAGCTTCATTTTCACTATAAGTCAGAAAAATCCCAAATTCTCTCTACAATGATAAAACCACCACATCTGCATAATCATAGCTTTTGTTATAAAATCTTGGCATATTAGCATAATCAGAGTAATGTTCATTAAAAGTGTGATACAACTCTGTTTATTATAATTTCTTAGCAGGAACGCAATAGCTGTCTAAGTACTAACACGCTAATAAGCATTATTATTTTTATATGATCAATGATGTGTTTATATATGTATACATATACATTTATACCAACAAATCACAAGAGAAATTACATAATATATATAATCATGAACAAACTTTTGGATAATTTTCTATTTAGATGCTGTGCTAATAAATTAATATTTCTGAGTTAGCTGATATAACTTTACTATTGATGAGCTGGTACAATTTCTGGTTCAGGTTTTGGCCCATAGAGACACATCACTTAATGAGACCCTGCTTAGGACAGGTGCTAGGTAGGCAGCCAACTTCTTAAAGGACTTAATTAATTCATAACTTAATAAAATTAGAGTGAATAGATTTAATTAGTGGGGAAGCTTAATATAAATAATAACCTAAAAATAATATTTGCTAGAGAAGTCTTTCCACATACAGTCCATTCATAAACAATCAAGAGTTGAACTTTATGTGACGGCATCAATTTTTCTGGGTTCATTGGAAATCATGAAAATAATTAACACATTTATAGCTGAAGGAATGTTAAAATATTTTAAACAATTCTTATGAGAACACTACTCAGTATTATTGGAGAACAATTGTTGCAAGAGATATGGAAGGGCCATAGAATTGTAACAATTTGCCTTTTTATTGAATATTCTGTACAAGACACTGGGTTTCACTGTGAAGGTCTCCAAGGTTCCTTTCCTCCTGCTTGCCTTCCCTCTACTTTCCCCTTCCCCTCCCCTCCCCTCCCCCCCCCCACACTGACCTCGGCCTCTCCTGCTCATCACAGAGGTGCTACTCTGCCCAGGCATGCTCCAAAGTTTTCAAACTTATTTGCTTTTCAGTGTTATTGACCAATTCATTAACTAACATGCTCACGATAAATGAAGAGTAAAAACAAGAAAACAGTAAAGAAAGTCGATAACCAGTAACTGTTGTGGGCACATTTATCCAGTTTACATTATCTACAGCTTGTAAGTACAGGCACTAAATGCACACTGGAGTTCTTCAGACTCGAATTTTGCAGCTCTTTGAGAAATTCTTCCTCAGCACTCTCTTGGATACCTGCCCTTGAAGTGGGAAAGCACAACTATTTGTCAAAGTGTGGTCTGCAGAGCTGTGGTTGCAAGCAAACGTCCTCCAGGTGCTGCCTGGGGGTGGTCGCTGGTCTGTGCTTGTATTAACACAACAGTACGTGGTTTATATTTCTTTTCCTGATAGTCAATAAATATATTGCCATTCTTTGCTGTACTTCTGGTGACATCTTTTTTTCTAAAGAAATAAAATATTGGTGGTGTTTTGCCTGAACTCATCTGTGAACTGAAAAGGACTGAAGTCTACAAGTGTTCTTAGGAGTTTATACCTTAGAGGTGGTTTATTAAGTTAGTAGTTTTGAGGATACTAGAGACTCTTAAGTTCAACAATAAGAAAAGCAGTACTATTTCAAGGTAGGCAGGATAATGTCACACTTACTCTCTGTCCAGGAGGCCCTTTAGGACCCGATATTCCAACACTGCCAGCATCCCCCTCTGGACCCTGAATGTACAATAGAAAAGGTCAGGACATTTAACTGCAAATCCATCAATTTATCAAGAACTGAATCTTTAAAAAAATCTAAATAATTGGTAAAAGTGCTAAGTGTAAAAGTCTCAATTTTGTTGTGTTTCACAATAAATGCATGGAAAAAAGAATGAGAGAAGATAAAAAATCACACAATGAAATTGATAGGAAAATAGATAGTTACATAAACTTTAAAATTAATAATTCCAAACTTATGTTTATGAAGATACCTCAAAATGTTTGTGGAAAAATAGAGCTAAAAGATAAAATCCACCCCCCAACACACATATTAGAAGAACTTTTGAAAAACCCTTACATGCATGGACTTCAAGCATTTTTTGCACTAAAACTCATTTAAAAATATTTATTTATCTAAAAGAAAGCATGACATAGAAGAGGGAGAATGTGGAGGGAGAGACAGAGATTCTCCATCTACTGGTGTACTCCCCAAATACCAACAAGACTGCACTGGGCCAGGTTGAAGTCAGGAGCCAGAAACTCCATACAGGTTTGCACATGGTTTGCAGAAGACCTACTGCTCTGGCATCAGTGCTGCCTTCCCAGATGCGTAAGTAGAAAGTTGGACTGGAAGCAGAGGAAATTGAACTCCAACTGGTGCTCTGATATGGGATGTGGATATTCTAAGCAATGGCTTAACCCATTGTGCCTCAATGCTCACACCAACAAATTTATCTTTTAACTCTATTTTCCACAAATGTTTTGAAGGATGATAACAATAGGAAATTTAGAGGTTAAAAAATAGCTCAAGTCAGAAATTACTGATTATTTAAGCATCTTTTTTTTTTCTAAATAGGTACAAAGACCAGTAGGAAAATATGTGAACATACTTTGGGGCCTGGGAATCCTTGGAAGCCTGCCAAACCTTGATCACCATGTTCTCCCTGTAATGTGAACAGACACACTGAGTATGGTTGTATGATTATGGTGTGGTCTGCAACTTAAGTGCTAAGTGCATTTCTGAATTGGCACATACAGGTTGCCCTTTTAGGCCAGGATCTCCACGTGGTCCTTGATCGCCCTGAGCTCCTTGGTGACCTCTTTTACCTTGAATTCCAGGTTGACCAGGTAGCCCTTGTTCGCCCTATGGAAAGGAAAAAGAAAGGTGACCTTGACTTCAGAACCTACAAACATACTGGTTTTTAAATGAAACCCAAATACAAGTCCATCAGCAGGCATAGTACAAGGCACTGGGGAAATACAATTCTGCATGGTCATTTTCTTATTACATTTGACTATAATAAAAAGGAAGGTAGCAATGGAAAAGAAACTTCCAAAGACTGTAGTGATAAACATAGAAAAAGAAAAGAGGAAAGAAGAACCTATAAAACTAAAGAAGGACACTGTAGTCTACAAAGAGGATGGTGAGGTATGGAGTATGCATGTATTTGATGCAACTTGTATTTTACATAAATTGCTATTGCTTTGCTTTGTTTCCACTTCCATTCAAAGATGCTGCAGCTGATACTCTGGGCAGTCTCCTGGTGCAGATTCTGTTTTTTGATATGACTGCCTTGTTGATTCTATTTTTAAGAAATGTCCAGTATCTGTTCCTCTAGGTTCCTTTAATATTCATACAAGTTCATTTATAATGATGTTACTTATTGTTGCATTAATATATCATTTAAAATGTCATCTTCATGCCCAGCGGCGTGGCCTAGTGGCTAAAGTCCTCGCCTTGAACGCACCAGGATCCCATATGGCCGCCAGTTCTATTCTGGCAGCCCCACTTCCCATCCAGCTCCCTGCTTGTGGCTTGAGAAAGCAGTCGAGGACGGCCCAAAGCTTTGGGACCCTGCACCCGCGTGGGAGACCCCGAAGGGGTTCCTAGTTCGTGGCTTCGGATTGGCTCAGCACCGGCCGTTTTGTGGTCACTTGGGGAGTGAATCATCAGATGGAAGATCTTCCTCTCTGTCTCTCCTCCTCTCTGTATATCTGACTTTGTAATAAAAATAAATAAATAAATCTTTTTAAAAAAGTAAAATGTCATCTTGCATTTATTTTTATACTTTGCTTTTGAAATGAGAGTTGGAATATTTTTCACACTATTTCTAAAAATAAATGTATGAGCTAAGTCAACTGGTTAATGAAGGATAATTTTTGGTACACTTTGGTCAAAATTCTTTAATGATTTGAAACAAGGCTTATTTTTGGGATTTTTTGTACTTAACAAGTATACTATGTCTTGTACATAAGAGGTAGCATCTTTCCAATTTATTTTCCTAGTTTCAACATTTGTTCAGTTGTGTTTAGTAGTAATGGAAAAATTTTCCATTTTACAACTGTTAAGAAAAGTAGAAATAAATAGGAAGCAGCTGAACCATCATTTTCAGTTTATCTGAAGAAGTAATAAGGACAAGGGGACCAATGTTTCACTCCTAGCTCCAGTCATTGGAGTAATCTGTATTGTCACTGTCAATGTTGAATTTCTTGGAGAGGTTCTATTTAGAAAGTCTATTGATACAACACCTACTGTCAGGGGTAGGCAATGTCCATAAGGCCAACAAAATCATCTGGAATGGTTTTGCCAAGGCAACCACAGGTGGGAGTTGAATTTGAATAAATGTATAGCATACTAATTTGTAAGGTGATAATTTTGTATGGCGCATAAATGGTGTTACAGATATCCAAAAGGTATTGGACAGAGAAAGGGTTCTCTATCTGGCCTCCTCATCCCCATATGCGATGAATGTTAATGACTGCTTACTAGTCAGATCCAGTATGTTTTGTCTTCAGATTTATTAATTTGTTAGCAAGGTTTGAGCTTTGAGGAACAGAAAATGTATTTGAGGAATAATGCATCTGAAAGTAAGTCAGATTATTATTATTATTATTATGACTTGGTTTAGGAGCAGAATCTAGATAACAGAAAGTAAAAGAACCACAATGATTCAAACGTAGCATATTTTAAATTACAGCTAGTTCTAAGTTTCCAGGTTGTTATGCCATTGCAGGAAACAGAAGTAGCAAGGTTGTACACTTTCCTTTTTCTGTAACATGCTTTCCTTCACAGCCAAATTTTATTGAGCACTAAGTGAACACAGGACCATTGGATGGTTAGCACTGCTCATCTTTACGGTACCTTGGGACCTAGAATTCCAGCACTTCCTGGCAGGCCTGTGGAACCCTTTATTCCTCTGGGACCTGGAGACCCAGTCAGTCCTGGTCTTCCCTCGTCGCCTCTGATGCCCTGAAACAAACAGAGATAAGACATGAAAACTGTGATGTTACTAAGAAAGCAGTCTCGAAGCTCAGTAAACAAAGAAGGGAGGTGTTTAGAAAGGCTGCAGCTGACACATCACTCAGGTTTATGAATTATTCAGACTTTTTTTCTCAAATAAGTGAAACATTTAAATAATGTTTTGGTAGCACTGATCAATCATCTGATACCTGTAATTACAGTTAATGTAGTTATGGTCTGTTTTTTTTTTTCTAAAGATTTATTTATTTTTATTAGATAGTCAGATATACAGAAAAGAGGAGAGGCATAGAGGAAGATCTTCTGTCCAGAAATTCACTCCCCAAGTGACTGCAAGGGCCGGAGCTAAGTCAATCCGAAACCAAGAGGCAGGAGCCTCCTGCAGGTCTCCCACGTAGGTACAGCATCCCATGGCTTTGGGCCATCCTTGGCTGCTTTCTCAGGCCACAAGCAGGGAACTGAATGGGAGGTGGGGTTGCTGAGATTACAACAGGCACCCATATGGGATCCTGGCATGTGCAAGGTAAAGACTTCAGCTGCTAGGCTACCACACTGGGCCCCATGCTGTTTTTAACATGGAAATGATTAGGTAGTACAAAGTTCCCTAGTATTTCCTGACTTATCCAACTGAGGTATAAGGTATGTGGTCTTTCTAACTTTTAAAAATTTTACTGTGGTATATATGGCAACTTCTGTAATCAACTAATGATTAATATCTCCTTAAGAATATCCTGTTCCTCAAACACACATGGTTACATAAAATTTACTATAATAATAAACTGATTGGGTTTAAACTAAAGCAAGCAAGCAAGCAGTATATCCTTAAAATAAAATCCTAAATCAAGATTGGTAAGCCATATTTTTTAAGCCAAACCCAGTCTAACACTTGACTTGTGTACAGCTCATCATTTAAGAAGTTTTTGCACTCTGAATTGTTGAAAAAAAATGAACAGAATACTTACAGACATGTGGACATTATATAAAATCAAAATTGATCATAATAAAATTTTATTGGCTCACAACCATGTTCATTCATTCACACAGTGCTAATGGCTGCTTCTGCTGACAGCAGTAGAGTTGCATAGCTAGGGCAGAGGTCTTAGGTGACACTCTAACTGCTCCTTGGTATGCTACACATTGCAGTGATAACAAGAAAGTGTTTCAAGTGGAACATACATTGTCTTACTCTCTCATTTGATTTCTTTTGCAACCAGTGTGTATCTCTCTTGCCAAAATAAGAGAAATGTGGACTTTCCATGTTGTGTTTCTAAGGTGCAATGGAATATGTTAACAACTTAGATGGCAAAACCTCATGGTCATTATAAATTGGCTGTGCTTAATAAGTATATATCAGCATTATCAGACCAAGAATTCAATACCATATTCTTTACTCAGTGCAAGAGTCAGAAAAAATAGTATATCTAAACACAATAGGTCAAGCCATTGTATGCAATGCAGGATTTTTATATAACAGTGCCAACTTGAATCTTGACTGCTTTGCTTGCAAATTAACTTTTTTCTAATGACTAGGAAGGAAGGTGGTGATAGCCCAAGTGCTTGACCCTGCCCTCATGTGGGAAATGAGTCCCTGGATAGAATTGTGGGCTCCTGGCTTTCACCTGGCCCAGCCCCAGCCATTACAGCTATTTGGGGAGTGAATTAATGGATGGCAAATCTATCCCACAGAAGAGAGTTAGCTTTTTACATTTGAACTTCACCAAAAGGCTGAGATGCGATGAGATAATAAATTTTTTGACAGGAACAATTGCTTGAATTATAGGGCATGCTGGTACAGCATTATTTGTGAGCTAGAAACCAAGGTAAATGTTTGTAAGTGGTTATACTTCAACTTGAAAAATCAATGCAATACTGGTCAATTGTTCATCCAGGGAGTTCACATTGAGTTTAAGTGACTGAAGAATTAAATGATATGAATAATCTGTAGGGTGCTACAAGAGAATATTTTCAAATTTAAGAATATACTGCGGGCCCATCGCGGTAGCCTATTGGCTAAAGTCCTTGCCTTGCACGCACTAGGATCCCATATGGGCACCTGTTCTAATCCTAGCAGCCCCATTTCAGCTCCCATCCAGCTCCCTGCTTGTGTCCTGGGAAAGCAGTTGAGGACGGCCCAAAGCCTTGAGACCCTGCACCTGTGTGGGAGACCTGGAAGAAGGTCTGTCTCCTGGCCTCCGATTGGCTCAGCTTCAGTTGTTGTGGCCCCTTGGGGAGTGAATCATCGGACGGAAGATCTTCCTCTCTGTCTCTACTCTCTGTATATCTGACTTTCCAATAAAAGTCAATATAAATCTTTCAAAAAAAAAAAAGAATACACTCAATCAATGCAACCTGATGTGGAAGCCACAAGTTGCAATAGAATGGGTAGCTGTGGACCTGAAACAGCATTTGGGAACATATTTACAAGGACTCTGAAAACATAAAGTGTGTAAGTTATTGATAGTCACCACATTATGTACTATCATGTACTTCAAGAAAAATTTATGAATGTAGTATGTGTACAGAACTCACTGTCAAGTGTAAACTCTATTTGCACTTGTGGATTTAACCTTCGTTATTTTTGAGATGACTTTGTCAGAAACAGAAATGAAGCATTCTGGCTTATTCCATTACACAGCAACTTGATGGCTTAACAAGGGTCATGTTCTTCTGAGATTTTCTTTTGAGGTTAAGATAAAAATTTTTCTGAATAATAAACTGCCCTCAACAGAAATGGAAGTGAAGAGATTTGAAATTATGTTTTTGCTTCAGACTTCAGAATGTTCATAAACGGATTAAAATCGCAAAGCAAAAGAGTGTTTGTGTGTAAAACATATATTGCAGAATCATTTTAATGACAGCCAATGTTCAAACCAAAATAACTATTAAACAATTGTGTGCTTCATTTGCTATAAAAGATGAAAACAATTGGTGACATCTCCTCTGTCACAGAGATTTATAGAGAGTATTTTGTGAGCTCAGTATCGGTAGTGAATTATAGACCTAGATTCAATCAAGCTCTACGTTTCAAAATATTTTTAATTGTGTAGATAAAGCATTTCTGTAGAGAATTTGATTGGAAATGATTCATGTACAATTAATGACATGCTAAAATAGCACTAAAAGGATCTGACAAAATTTCCATAAGTTCTACAATATTCCAAAAGAAATGAATATTCTTGGTTAAAATCATATGCTTGGGAACTGTAGTATTTGGCAGTAACTTCGTGTGAAAATAATTAATCAAATTGAAACATATAAAACAGGCAAAATCTGATTACAGGAATGATACAGGAGCAGAAAAATTTAAAAATAAGGAACTGCAATAAATGGACTGTCATTCTCTCCAAAGTAATATTTTTCTTAATTAGTTAGTTTAATACAAAAATTACACTCAATTACAATTAAATTTCATAAGTAAAAATTTTGTCAGTTTTTTTTACTTCCTGTTGCATAAATTCCCAAGTCATATCCTGGATTATGTTGTCATACAAAAATCAAAATATTTACTCATATTTATAAAAAAGGTTTGCTGACCTCTCTTCTAGAAGATGATTGCTACTTTTTAAGTTGATTCTTGGGATACTGAATTGGGTTATGCAACAGTTCTTCCATGTATCATGTGCATAGGAAAAATATGAGAAATTCTCTGGAAATATAAATAAGATATGGCACTTGTTTACAAAAAGTTGACTATTAAATGAAAAAGATGAAATATAATAAGTAATGGCTGTAATGCAGGTAAAAATATACAAAAGATCCAGAGGAGACATAAACAGTAGTGAGCTTCTGAGGATGAGACATCATCTTTAGTAGTAATAAGAAAAAGAAAAGGTGAATGTTACTGTACTATAAGACAAAAATAGTGCCTTTAAAATTGCAAATGTGAAAAGGGAATGGAAGATAGACTATCGTCACTTCTATGGAAGGTCTGGCTGAGAAAATGGGATTTGATAAATGAAGTCAAATGTGAATTTAATACTGCAGTATTTCTCTTTTTTCCCCAAATAGTACTATAATTCATATCATAATTATTACTCTCTTACTAAAAATTCAACATATTAAAAATTGCGTTTTCTAGCTAGATTTTCTTCATGACTACAAAATCCACTAAAACATTAAATAAACATATCTTTTAAATAACAGATGCTATGCACATCTGTATGTGACTATATACTATATAGTCACATTCCTATTATTTATTTCTTTACCCCTCATTTGATCACAGTCTACATTGGCTATTCTGTCTCTTACCAAGTGTGTATTAGTGGTGCTCAACATTTGTAAGGAACCATTATGAAGACAAAATCCCTATACAAGGAAGGAGAGTAAAAGAAAAGGAGGAGGGAGAGAAGAGCGCGTGGGGCTTAGGGGAAGAAGCCGAGTTGGAGGAAAAGAAGGCTGGGGGCGGGGGGGGGCGGGTTGGTGATGAAGAAAGATCTGTATTGTGGATTTAAGTCTTAAATTTCCAGTGGGGTGGTTCTTTCACATTGCAATTGCTGTACTCCAAGAGTACCAAACTATGCCATTTCTTTCCTCTTTCTTCTCATGTTGTATCTAGCACTGATTTAGTGTGGTTTCTAAACCTTTTTGTGCTATACCTCTGGGATAGGATAACTGGTGGTTTCTTTTCCACATGAAAAAATAAGATCTCTGAAGGTAATGGTGCCATTTTAGAGCTTATCCATGTAAATGAAAGCAAATCAGTCAAGGTCATCTGATACTTTACAATATACTTCAAAAAATGTTCAGTGAAGATATAGGTATTGGTCCTGGAATGGTAGCCTATTGGCTAAAGTCCTTGCTTTGCATGCACTGGGAACAAATAGAGGTGCCAGTTCCAATCCTGGCGGCCCCGCTTCCCATTGAGCTCCCTGATTGAGCCTGGGAAAGCTGTTGAGGGTGGCCCAAAACCTTGGGACTCTGCACCTGTGTGGGAGACCAGAAAGAGACTTAGGGCTCCTGGCTTCGGACTGGTTCAGCTCTGGCTGTTG